TTGTAGGTAACCTCCATCTTTGGTCACTTTTTCCAAGACTCATCATAGAACTATACTCTTCTGTCTGCCTAATAAATCTTGGTACCTTAGATACTCTTCTAAGAATATTTGTTTCCTGCACAATCACATCCAATCACTATTGGTAAGCTAGGGACTCCCTAATTCATATCCCCTGTGGACCCCTCCTAACTAAATACCTAACTACCTATTGGCTATGTCTAGCTATATATCTCAGTGGCAACTCAGAGTATCCAATCCAACTGATTATCTCCCACGAGCCTGAAGAACTTCTCATGTGCCTTCTTTCAGTGATTTGGCCAGTGACTTAAAATTTTGCTATTTACTAGTATGACTAAGGGACATGGGCCTGTCTTTTCCTTCTTCACGCCTCTTCACAAGCTTTTGTGAACCTTTATTCTTTTCTAAATTCAGAAAGAAAGCCAAATCTCCTTTGCAAGTACCAAGTTAAAGAACTCATTTGAGCTCTATTGCTTCTGTATCCTTACCGAAAGTTAGCCTGTGTTCATTTGTATCTTTGCTACAGATTTGTCAGATTTTGATGTTACCAATAAACATACAGAGTCAGATGGTATTCAACATAGGGCAATTAAGTTTAATGAACCAAGGGCTTTCTTTCTTCAAGTGTTCTTCCTCCATAACTTAAAGTAATTGATACTTAGCTTTATGCTTATATTATATGTAATTCAAAAATTTTCTTTTTTCTGATGAAGAAGGGTCAGAGGATGATTCTCTGTCTATTTCTGTAATTCTCTGTCTCTGAAAGTGTTTACACAGGAGTTGCCTGACCATCTGCCGAAGAGAAAAATGAATGAAAATGAGACAGTGACCTTTCTCTCCCACTGAGAGCTAGGATGCAGTGTCATGATATTACAATTAGCTATGTGAACTATATATAAATAATGAATGTGTAACAATGAAAATTTCACCAAGCATCAAGGTTTGTTTCATGTTCTTGAGAAATCATATCACAGTAAATATCTGTGTGAGAATTCCTTAGTAACAAACTGTGCATGATACATGATGAGCAGCTGTCCAAATAGTGAGCTCATTCCTAGCAACAATACCATTTCAGTTGTTTAAAATGACTGAGGGGACAAATAGTGCTCTTGAGATTTCAAACAAACCTTGATATTATTATATTAAAATATAGCATTCTCTGATATTTAATACTTTTAAAATAAAATCTCTTTACTAAATCCGAACAAAATAATGGTGAAAAGCAGAGGTACGCCTATATTGCATTGTAGACTGATATAAAGATCATTGAAAAAACTCCCGATCCCCAAATATCTTTTTTATAGGTGTCCTTGGATCTGCCATTGGTGAGTCATTCTTTTTGGTCAGGTGTGGCCATCTCCCTGACCTTGATAGTAAATGAGAGACAGGACTAGATTAGCTGACAAGCTTCTGTGAAGCCAGGTTCCACAGAAGAGAATTTCTCATGTAAGACCAAAGGTTAGGGAATGAAGGTTACCATATTCTAGCCAGGTAAAAGGCAAGAACTGAAGTCCAGAAAATAGAATTGCAGGAACATACAAAATTGGTATACAGAATTTGAACTAGGTACCAAGAAGAGAAGAACAAACATCAACAGGATAATAATAAATGTGAATTAGTTCAGGAATCATCTGTCAGGCTTTGTTGTCTACAGCTTCTCTTTTTTCTTTTAAAGGCCAGATGTTAGTTAATGTAGTCAGGTTTAAAGGATCTAGATTGGGTCATGTATCTTAGATGCCAGAAGGACTGGTGTAAAGGAAAGAGGTTCATGCGGGGAGTACTCATGTAAAAAAGCCACTCTCCTCTCAGTAATATGACAATATGTCCCTGTTTATATGACTTTTGCAAATTATTAGCTACAGTATCAGTGATTAACTTAGTGATATACTTTAGTTTTCTTGTAAAAGTGAAAAAATGACTGTGTCCCAGACTTCTCTTTTTAATAAACTTGTGAATTTACCTGAGAATACTTGATCCCATTTGTTTAAAGTAATTTATCAGTCACAATATCAGTAAAAAGTCTGGTCACTTATTTCAGTGCAGGAACCTTTGTCAATACATTAACTCAGGGTGCAAAAAAGACCACACACATAGTAGTCTATCTGTCATTGGATGGTTTGAATATGTTTCTTCTCCCTGTTTGACTTTGTTTTCCAATCTATACAATAGAAGATTAGAATATTGGGTCAGAGGTTGTAAGCTGGTGACCTATGAATTAAAGTAAGCCAACAAACTATTAGTTTGGTCAAGGCAGTGGGTTTTTCCTTTTATTTAATCTTGTTTTAATGAGTTCTAATTTGTTTATGTAGGGCATACACACTCATGTTTGACTGGGGACTCACTGGCCCACCCCAACCACTGGTATACATCTAGACTCAGCGTTTGCTGGATGAGTATTGAAAAGACTTGAGTTTGTGGTTCTTGGATTATACTTTTTTTTTTCTTCAAATTTCTTTAGATTCCTAAGGTTTTCTTTCTATAAAACCTCTTGAGAGAGTGAGGGTTATTTCTCACCCTGCATTAGGAGAAAGATAGATGAGCTGGAAGAAAATTCTTACATGATGAGGGCTAACAAGTATCAGGCCATTTCCACACACCATCTCATTTAAATCTCAAAGCATGCTAGTGAGGTAGATATTATCATACCCACTTTCAGGTGACAAAGTAGGCTCGGAAAATTTAATATTGGTTAGAAAGCTTATCAACTGTGGGAATCAACTTCAAATCCAGATCTGTATGTGTCCAAAACCTCCCTATGCCCTAATTTTCCTTAGTGGACAGAAACTTTCCACAAGGATCTCTTTAATAATGAAGCTTTACGAAGACATTGTCAAAGTTAGTTATACAAAAGATGTCAGATATCTAACTACTTTACCAAATATTTTATTTGCATGTTGCTTTTTTTGACTAGTAGGGGTTTTCCTTCATGCCGTGCTTGGCAACATACTTGACTTCTTAAATAGCTATATAGAATTGAGGAATATTGTTAGAAAAAATTTGGCTTTCATTTACACATTGATGTGACTTTGGGATTATGTCACAAATCACTCAAATTAGGAGTATAAAGAGATTTTATTCCTATCACTTTTCTGTTTTGTCATAGAACACTAGCTATCTTATACATTCAATTTTTTTTTTGTACCAAGTATCACTAAACTCAAGTGCCTTAATCTGGAAATAGTACTCGATTACCTAGAAATTGTACCTGACAGAACAGTTCTGGTAAGGTGAAGTTCAAGTATGTCTGAATGAAGGAAGACAGAGTGTTGGTATAATCACTGATTGAACAGAAAACTTTTAGTTGTGTTGTGTTTTCTATTGAGAGTTTTACAAAATTTAAATCTGCTAATATAAACAAAACTTTCATGTTTAAGATGATTTCCATGTTATGTTAGTCACTGAATTGGCTTATAATAAACACGGTGGCCAGCTAATATCCAAAATAAGACTGTCTGTTTTTAAAAGGGAAAAGAAGAGAAAGATGATACATTAAAAATTTAAGTTAAGAAAAAAAAGGTGTATGGGGCACTTTCTGTAATTTTTAAAGTTTGGATTAACCAGCATTCATCTGACTTGCCTAAAAGATTGAGTCAATAATTTTTAATTTTATTGTATTTCGCTTAAACAGTGCTCAAATTGACTGGTAAATATTTTCTGCAAGCATAATGCAAATTATCATAAGACATATAAAAGCAATTAGACTGGTGAATTCTATTTTCTATGAGTGGAGCTTGGGGAGTGAGGGAAAGAAGTACAGAAACTGCTGCCCTTTTCAGATGATTCACAAATGTGCTAATTATGTGTCAGATATAAAAGTTGAGGCATTATGACCTTCAAGCCAACAAGACCTTTTCAAGTAAGCCATTTCCATGTACATTAATAAAATGAACAATATCCTTCCACAGTGAAATAATGTATGGCTGTTATTTCATTATATGTAAATGCAAACCGAAGAGTTGTTTCACTATTGACATCTTAAACATAACGCTGTAAAAGAGCAAAGACCATAAATCCATTTAGGTAACATTTTGTGGTACTCTCCAAACAGTGATCCGAAGATATATTTGTTGTTTGCTTCCACTGCATGAAGCTAGCATGTGATTTCTCTCCAACTGAATGCACTTTGGATTTGAGCAGTAAAAACTGCAATGTGTTAAAGTATATAATAACCAGCAGAGACATTAGGAAAGTTAGAAAACTAATTATAGAAAAGAGATTTCTTTGCAGTGTTGAAGACAGTGAGGTATCTTGTAGACCAGAGAAAATGCTGCCCCTCTACACTCAGTTGCTAGCAAGAGGAATGTTGAATAAGAGTGACAGAGGAAAGGAAAGGAATCTCATGCTCTTCTCATGGCTCTGTAATCATATGAAGAAAGTATTTGTACATGTAGAATTTGCTTGAATCAAATTGACTGCTGGACATGGAGTTGTAGTAGAAAATCAAGAACTGGAAGAAGAATGATTATCTTGTATTTGTTCAGGTTTGTAGAATATTTGATGCTGAATAAAACATGAATAAAGAAATAGTCATGCTTAATGCAACTTAAGTATGTATAATAGACCTCTGGGAAATAATAAACCAGTTACAAACTTAAACCACGATCATATGAGTTTCCAAAAACTTATTAGCATTCAGTCTATAGACAAACCTTTTTTTTCAGTCCCACAGGAAACCATCATAGTCAGCATCTTATTATGTGCTAGATGTTGATACGAAGAGACTGTATAGGGTTTACTGATTCACTCACCAGTCTTCCCTTTGGTTTTAAACAATTCCCTAAGTTTCTGAGTTGTTATTTGTTTTAGTAGATTCTCTGAATAACTCCATAAAACAGATGCCAGTGACATTTATGAGAATGCTGCTGTTTGTCACTGAGATTTTCAATAAATATGTACATGTTCTTACTTGTCTAGTATAATAAATGTTTCTGCATTTGCTTGGCAATCTGAAATAATTTCTATTATTTTACATTGTATTTAAGGTGGCAAATCTTGCTTGTTCTATGTCAACAAATGAAGATGGGATTAAAATTGTCAAAATCGCAGCCAGTCACCTGGAAACCTTGTGTCCACAGGTATGATAACTAAGTTACTACCTCTTTTCATTAAACTATATATATGTGAATATATAGTTACAATATATATAATATACAATATAATTATAATTCTATATAATATATAATGTATAATATAAATATAATGCTTCAGACTTTAATACATATGACATTAAAATATTATTTTAAACACAGAAGATGACGCCTCCTAAGATTTTGGTTTATTTTTTACTAAGTACCTAGTACTTTGCTTAGCACCTGGTTCTTGTAACTTCCCCTAAGGGACTGTATCATAATTTTTTAAGGGAAGAATATAGTTTGAAATCAAAACAGTACTTTCTCAGGTAGATGTGATTTATTTTTAGTCAGAATTCATTTTAAAATTTCTAACAGTATGAAAGGAATAACTCCCAACACCCCTCCACCCTTTATCGTAAGAAGTCTTAGGTCTGAAAAAAATCAAGAAATGTTTTCTTGTCTGAAATTAAGAAATTTATTAAGATCTGAAGAGCAGAACATTTTTAGGGAATTATTTCTAGATGACTAATAGTCTTGTAGCCATGAATCAGGATACACATAAAGGCACTATTAAACACCTCATCTTAGAAAATCAAGAAATGATATGAGTAATTAGTTCCTAATAAAGACCACAAGCATTGTAAGGCTATGACATATAACAATGAGTAGAGACTTCAAGCCTCTGCTAAGATTCTCATTTTACTAAAAGTAGAGTATGTGTTAATTCCTGACTTGCCTTGCTGACAATTTCATCTTTAAGAATATTGAAGAAACAGTATGGGAGACTGCTTCTTGGGACTTAATGTTGATTAACAAGTACACACTGGCTGGAGAAGTGGAGTCTAGAGTACTTGCAACTGTGATTTCATAACTGATGTCAGTTTTTTATGAGATTTCACAGAGAACCTGAATACTGCAATGCGATCTCTAAATTGGTCAAATCACTTACATTCCCCCCAACAGTCTGTGAGAGTTCTCGTTTCTCTGCATGTGAATAGCACTTGATGCTGTCACTTTTTAAAATGTCTTTGAATCTGAAGGGTATTAAGTATATCTTATTGGTTTTAATTTATAATTTCCTGATTACTAAAGAGAACATTTTTTTCAAATGGGGTTTATTAACCATTTGGCTTTCTAATTCTGTGAATTGCTCAAACCCTTTGCCCATTTTTAGTCAGGTTGTCTTTTTTGTTGTGGTTGATGTTGCATTGCTTAGATTTGTTAAAAACATTGTCTGTTGACTGTAGCTTTTAACTTTTAAAGTAATAGTTTAATCACAGGGAATTTTAAGAACTTTAATGTAAACATATGCTCTATCTTTTAATTCTTTCAATAGATTTTTTAGTACCTACCCTGGACTATGTTTTATTGGTTTCTGCCTTAAAAAATTCTTCCAATAAAAACCATTACATAGTTCCCACATTTTTTTTAAAAAAGTTTGAAGTATTGTTATTTAACATTTAGATCTTTACTTCATCTGAATAGGTCCATTTTTTTTCAACAGTGCTGCTAACTAGTCCACCATCATGTATTAAATAGCGGATCCTTTCACACATACCATTTGTGTAATTTTTTACTAATATTCTATATGTAAATATAGATTTATATATAAACTGAAATATGTTTCAAGGTATAAAAGTTTCTGGAATTTGTTTTGTTCCACTGGTCTACTTTATCCCAGCAACAATATCATATCTCTTAAATACGGTTTTATGCTAAATATCTTACAGACAAGTTTTCTCACCTTGATTTTTTTCTTAAAATTGTTACAGTTCTTACTTTTTGCTCTTTCACATAAATTTCAGGATCAACCTGTCAAATTGCATGAAAACACATGTTAGACTTAAAATTGTTAAAATGCTTTAGATTTTGATTATTTTAGGGAATAATGATTCTTCTAAGATATTGAATCTTTCCATTAATAAACACACTTTATGTATCTCCATAGTCAGATATTTTTTGTATACTTTGGGGACTTTAGATTTTTATGATTTATTACAGTAAATTCCATAGCTATATACTGATGGCTTCCAAATTTTTCTCTCCTGGTCTTACTTCTCTCCCAAAGACTCAAATATCTATTTTTCCCCTTCACACTTCTACTTTGATATCTAGAAGACATCTAAAAAATTACCCAACATGGAACTCTGTATTTTTCCAACCTCATCTCATTCTGCTGCTTCTTCAGTCTTACCAATTTTAGTCAAATGGAACAGTCATTCACCTAGTTGCTTTGGGACAAAACCTGGAGGTTTCCTTTCTTCATTCAGTAAACACTTATTGGACAATATTATGTGGTAGGCATTGTTTATACATCTGGGGGGAAAAATAGTAAAAAAAAAACAACAGACAAAAATACTTGTCTTTGTGAAGCTTATATTCTAATGAGGTCTAATGGCTGTTTTTCCTATCAAATCCAGTAACAAGTCCTATCAATTCCACCAAAAATATGCATCTTAAGTCTATATGCTTTTCTCCATCTTATACATCAACACCTTAGCCTGCGCAACAATCATTTCGTCTTGAACTACAGAAAATATCACCTGTATTGTTTCCATGCTTATACTCATATCTTTCTAATCTAGTAACTATATAAAAAGCAATGTGGATAGCACTTGATGCTGCCACTTTTTAAAATGTCTTTTCAATCTGAAGAGTATTAAGCTTATCTTACTGGTTTTAATTTATAATTTCCTGATTACTGAAGAGAACATTTCATCAAAGTAAAACTTTAAACATGTTTACCACAGCAATTGCTTTCCTTAGCTTTTTAAGGTAAAATGCAGACATTGTGTTAATGGCTTACTCAGACATATATGAACCTCCTACTGCCTAGCTTCCAGCCCCACCCCATATCAATTTCCTTTTCACTTATAAAATATCTGCACATTGGCCTTTCAGTTTCTAGATCACAATAAGCTCCTTTTCACCCAAGGGAGTGTGCACTTGGTGATTTCCCAGTGCTCTTTTCCCATATGGCGAAATGGATAGCTCCTGTTTGTTCAGTTCATGGGGACTCAGCTCAAATATCACCTTCTCAAAGATCAGTCTCCTTAAATGAATACTCCAGCTGTACCTTATTATGTGATCATATTTCTTTCTTTCAGTGTCTCTATCACAATCTGAAATTATATTTTATATTGTTGTTTTACTGTACATTTGCCTCAGTCAACCTTAAAGTTCATGAAGGCAATGGTTTAGTCTTCCTTCCTTGCTACTTCTATCCATTGTGTGCAGCAGAAATGTGGCATATATCAAATATTCAATACCTATTTTTCAATGTGTAAATGAATGACAGGGTTTCTAGAATGATAAATCATTTTTTCTTTAGAGAGGGTAGCAAGGCTTTTGGCAACAGCTCTTGTGATACTCTTTCTGATGGGGCATGTCTTCTTTCGACAACATAAAAAGAAATTACAGTATAATTAGTTTGAGTTGCAGCTGATGAAAAAAAAGTCCTTAAAATGGCTTATTAATGTGTACTTGCTAGCCAAGGGCAAGACTTCTACTGATATGCTAAACTGATCTGTTCTTGACCTTTCTCATTTCAGTGTTTTATTAGTGATTTGGAAAAAATTATAAAACAGTGTTCTTGAAATTTTCAGTTAACAATAAGAGGGTATAGGAAAAGTATTAGCTAAAAGAATCCAGTTACAAAGAATTTGGTTATTCTAGAATATGGACTAAATCTTAGTATCCACATGAAATATAATAGCTATAAACATCAAACCATAGATACTGGTCACTATAAAACAAATTGCAAAAGGTGAAGAGGTCCTACTTGATACTAATCTCAATTTGAATCAACAATGTGGTGAAGCTATCAGAAACACTAATATGATTTAATATTTTTCATCAAAGAATAAGTTTGAAAACTTATTCCCAAACTTCTCTGTACTAAAATTACTTTTAAGCTGTATGTTCTTTTATGTAGTGTATCCTGGAACTCAAAATTAGCAAGTCTGGAGTGTACCCCAGTTGTGTGCATATGTCTGTGTATACATGTGTGTAAATTCAATATATGTTGAAATAAAACATGCAAATACATTGAGGTACACTAATTGCAGATCCAGCAATTTGTATGTGCGGGCATGCACTTAAGCCTGTAAGGTTTTTTTGCAGCTTTATCTGTAATGTCAAAAGTTAGAACCAACCAAAATGGCTATTAACAGAAAATGTTAAAAGCTGTTTAAAGTAGTTAAATCAGCTTAATATATGTTTTGAGATGTAAGATACCCAGGATAAGTGGAAAGGGCAGATTTCAGATGAGTATGTATATTATCTCATCTATGTGAAAAAAAGGAGATAGATTGAGCCATATGTTTATGTAGGCATAGAAAATTTTTCCAAAAGGTTCTTATAAGAATTTTAATAGTGATTACTTGCAAGAAGTGTGACTGGGGACAAAGGACAGAGAGGAATACTTTTACATTCCATTTATTTCTTTTAGAACTCTTAATTTAACCAGAACTAAGTGTTTTATCAATTTCTGAACAAAATGAACCAATTAAAAAATTTCCAGATTGATTCTGGAATGAGTCAAGTTGAGAAAACACATGGTCAGGAGGAACTGACAGTAGAAACACTTAATTTCTGTTTGCTAAATAAGATTGAATTAACCTAGGTTCCAGTGATTGGATCATCCTGGCTCTTACTGTGTCTAAAAGGACTACAGCTAATAATACTTTGCCCAGTTATATGTGTCACATTAAAAAAAAAAACAGTCACTGGCACATATTTAGAAGAGGATGTATGAAATAATGGCATATCTTGAAACTATGTCATGAGAAAAACTCATAAAAGCAATGGGGAATTTCTAGGCAGGGAAAGGTAAGACTTGGAGAAACATGATGAATCTCTTTGAATCTTTAAAGGATGATGTTGTTAAGACTTGGGCTGAAGGTCCCTGAGGAGCAGAATTACGACCTTTAAGTTTGAGCTAGCAGGATACCAATTTCATTTCAATATAGAATGAGTTTTCTAACACAGCAATCCTGAAAGGG